GTACCGGCGCCGTCACCATGTTTTTGCTCCCCGGTTTCGTCAATTCCGAGGCAGACGACCAGCTCCTGCTGCGAAGGTGGCCACAAAGACGACGACTTCTGCGACCTGGGTGCGTAGCAAAAGCTTCAAGTATCGTTTAGAGTTCAGGCTACAGGGTTTAGGGTTTAGAAATCTGATGGTGAGAAAGATCCCTGCAGAACCAGTGTGAATCATGGTCATCATGGTTGTGACGCAAGTTGCTGAGCAACTCGTTCTGCCCAGTTCAAGCTTGCCGTGCTAGCGGACAGAGCTTGAAGTACGTGCTCGTTCAAAGGTACGCGTGGTCAAAGACACAGGGATGCTGAGACAAAGAGTTTAGATCCAGACTAAAATCTGGAATCAGAGGGAAATGAAATCTAAACCCCTAAACTCTGAAGCCAAGTGCGTAGTTCTCTAAACTAGGCCCCCGCCTGTTTAGGCTTCTTGCAGAAACTTCGTCTCCAGAAAAGCAGCCCTGTTCGCTTTCCAATAGCTAAGCTAAAGCCCGCCTTTAGGGTTTGGGGTTGGGAGTTTAGGGTTTGGGGTTTAGGGTTTAGGGTTTAGAATAAATGTGTTCTTACCTGGGTTCAGTACTTGGAGAATCATGGGACTTAGTAAGTAAGGCTATAAATACCCTATTGGGGTTACAAGTAATTATGTGTATAGTTACCTTATTTATAGCCCTAAGTCCCATGAGTACTACCCTGTTGCCCTTTGTAGTTTAGGGTTCTCCTGTCAAAACTGAATAGCAGGAAAAAGGGTAGCCTTCTTACTAAGGGGACTCGAGGGAGCCGAGACAGGGTTTAGGGTTTGGAGGTTTAGGGTTTAGGGTTTAGGGCATACCAACCTGCAAGCTCAAAGTTGTTTGGGGGGATTTGGTCTTCTTACTGCAAGCCTTGAACCCTAAGCCCCAAACCCAACACCCACAATCCGTAGGTGATCGTCCACTGAACCCCAAAACCCAAAATCCTTAGGCGATCGAAACATCATTCTGCGATGTATCTCCACTTGGTTTGGGTCTATCGAGAACTTTGAGCTCGTGGTGCAGACTGAGGTGAGGGTGGAGGGTCTGAGGTTTGGGTCAAGGGGGCTGACTGATGTTAGGGAGGAGGGCTTCTGGTGGGCTACTAGAAGGATCTATGAGGGCTTCGTACGGTGACCTTACTAACTATATGGGTGGTTGTCAAAATTAGGGTCCCTTTGGGGGTACCCTAAATAATTTATTAAGGACCCAAAGAGGGACCATAATTTTGACAACCACCCATATAATCAAGAGTTCGGGGTATTATTGTGTAGAGATAAAAACAATGTGATACAATTCTTGGGGAGGCGAGGGGGTTTAGGGTTTAGGGTTTAGGGTTTAGGGGCTGGGGATCTCGGGTATACTTAAAGGGTCATGGGACTTAGTAACTAGGGTTATAAATACGGTAACTATACTTACAATTACTTATCACCCCAATTAAGGTACTTATAACCTTAGTTACTAAGTCACATGATCCTCTAAGTAGGGCCTCAGCTCGTGTTGAGGATTTGTGGATATGCGGTCGATGGCCATGGCAAGGGGTATTAGAATATAGAGATCAGGGCGTAGAGTTTCGTGAGTCCCGACTTGAAGTCGAAAATGAAGGGTTGAGGGTTTGGGATTCAGGGTTTAGGGTTTAGTAATTTAGGGCTTAGGTTTTAGGGCTGGGGTTTAGTATTTAGGGCTTTGGGTTTGGGGTTTAGGGAGCACTCTTCGGCCGCGCCCTTGCTTCTTCCATGGTTGGCGTGAGCATCTTGCTGAATCATGCGCCCCAAAGCTCTGAAAATGAAGAGCCCTGAATCCCGAAATCCCAAAACACGGAATCCTAAACCCTAAATCCTAAATCCCTACATGACATGCTAGGAATCCCAAAGCCTCAGCACTGCTCCATCCCGGAAATTCCCAGAGAATCTTTGAAGTGAGAGTTTAAGGTTTACGGCGTCTTTTCTTTTATTGACGCCTTGCAAAGCCCTTGTGGCGAGGTGCGGAAGGCTCTGGCAAATCAGCTCGTGGATGGAGGCTTCACCTACCGCCGCATGGTCCTTGCCACGGTTCCCCTTCTCTGGTCCCTGCTCCCCGGCAAAGCATACACGAAGCCTGTCAGGTCTAGCACAACCCCTAAACTCCTACACCGTAAGCCCTATACCCTAAACCCCTGAACCCTAAACCCCTAAACCCTATTTGGGGTACAATATACTATGAGTACAATAAGGAACCCCCAAAACCCTATTCTAATTTTTAAGGCCCCTATATATTATCCTAACCCTCCAGGTGCCTACGATATAGGGCCCTAGGACCTCTAGTACACTAAAAAGTAGGTACCTGGTGGGGGGTTGGGGTTACCCCAGGAAAGGCCTGAGCGCTGGAGGCCGACCTCCGAAGCGTGAGCCCTGAGATAGCGGCCTCAGTGATTAGAGTAGGGTTCCTTTAAAGGGATCCTTAGAGGGTCCTTTAAAGGGTTCCATAAGGGATCTACTACAAAAGAGGGTTCTATAATGCAGGGGCCTCAGTGATTAGAGTAGGCTTTGATGCCGGGGCCCGAGCAATTTGAGCAGCGTCTGGGGGAGTATAGTATGGTGTAGCATAGTAGAGCATAGTATTGTATGGTATAATCTAGTATACATTGCTATATACTATATGATAACACATTAGAATATGTTATAGTTGTTGTGAAGAGCCTCAAGCAATACTGCAGCTAAAGGGAACCTCATCGGAGAGTATTAATCGTAAATCCTGCGTCTACGGTAAACCGAAACGGCGGTCCTGGCCACCACCAGAAAACAGCCAGACATACATCTCAAATCACACACGTAGCTCTTGTATAACACGTGAAACAGCTAGCACGCTGACACCGAGCCGAGATTGGATCGTATGGCATCAGACGTCCGGGATCCCCTCTGGGCGGCGGGGCAGTTGGCCCGTCTCTTTGCCTATTGGTTGACCACTGCTCCTTGGATTGCTACCATTTCACTGTAAAGAGGGCACATGCTTCACGTTGCGTCCTGATTATCATGGCAGCTTGATGTAGGTTCCTGAGACTGCTTTCACCTTTTTCTGAGTTGCAAGATCTAAACCCTAAACCCTAAACCCTAAACCCCTAAACCCTAAACCCTAAACCCTTAGGGCCCCTACATTTGCCTATGAAAAAGTCTGTACTGGGCTTCCACATCCCGACTTGAACTGGAAGCCCAAGCTTCTGCCTTTAAAAAGTTAGAACCTAGACTCCCAAACCGTCCTGTTGGGGGCTCAAGCCGACGGCCTTGACGGCTCATCTGCAAAGCCCAGAGATCATGTTCTATAACGCTTTTGGGCTATTTCGAGCCATAGGGTCAGGGCTTAGGCCTACGGCTCTAAGGACTCATATGTAAAGCCCAAAGACCATGTTCCATATCGATTTTGGTCGATTTTGATCCACAGGGCCATAGGGATTCTGGGGAACTGGACGACCAAGGTTCCTTCCATCTTGATCCTCCTGTTGCTCGACTGGCTCTCGAGATGGAAGCTAAACTGTAGGTAACTCAGTGAGGTTGAGGGTCTACTTAAAGGATCATGGGGCTAATGGTCTCTTATAAACCCAGTCAAGCTGCTTTGTAACCTTATCATCCTCGAAGTAGGGGTTCCAGGGAAGAGTTTAGGGCCCCTAAACCGAGACTGGGGACCGCTGTCCTGTCAAACGGGCTCGCTTTTCCTGCTAGACTGGGGCGCTTGGGGTCAGAGGCTTTGGGTTTAGGGGTTCAGGCCTTAGGGTACACCCGATTCAAATTCGTTTAGGGTTTAGGGGTTCGGGTTGAGAAGTGTGCTGCCCCGAAGCCCTAAACCCCGATGTTTCCCTCGGAAGGTTCCGTCTTTGCTACAAGTTCCGTGCTTCCTGTGGGAGGATATCCCTCGAGATCCTCCTCTCGCTCGGGCTTGTGATTATCGGAGCTGTCCCTCGGTTTAGGAGTTTCGGGGCTTCGGGGTTTTAGGGTTTTTTGTTCGGTCTCGGTGTGGGTTTCGGGGGTTTGCCGCGAGTTTAAGGGCTTTGGTGTCAGAGGCTTGGTCGACTACAAGGGTTCAGGGTCTGATTTTGTGCTGTGGTGCGGGTGATGATCTGAACCCTGCATTACCCATAATACGGAATATAGCATAACTCCCATAGTTTAGGGTCCTTGAGGTAATGCAGGATTTATATCGTCAACAGGAGTTTGCAAGGTATTTCCTACCAGGGCTATAAGGTGGCGGCGTGGTACTCATGCACTCTGCTTTTGAATCCTAAACCTTAAACCCCTAAACCCTAAACCCTAAACCCTAAACCCTAAACCCTAAACCCTAAACCCTAAACCCTAAACCCTAAACCCTGACCCTAAATCCCTAAAGCCTCCCAGCATGGGTCGGGCCTCGGTTTTCGTTGGCGGATATTGCACGCATGACGAGCGCCTTTGGCTTCAATGCGTCGGGCACTCTTCGACCCTAACTCACCACCTTCAAGGTTTAGGGTTTAGGGGGTTTGGGCTTTAGAGTTTAGGGCTCAGAGGGTTGAGGGTTTAGGGGTTTACCGCTAGCCCTAAAGCCCTTACACCCAAAGTTTCGACCCTTTAGGCATCAAAGCCTCGAGCCTGAAATCACTAGGGTTTAACATGTAATTGCCGTTGAAGAAACTTGCTGGTCCTGGCAGAATAGAGGCTTGGGAGCTAGGATTAGGGGGACCCTTGGGGATATAGACCCTCTCAATAAGGTCCCTTTCAAGAGAGCCAAAAGTAGGGTTCAGAAGGGGTACCCTTTAAGGGGTACCCCTAATGATACTACCTGAGGCTATGTATGTTGCCACAGCAGCGATTGACATCCTCTTCCAGGCCGTCTTTCCAAGCATTCCTCTGGCGAACTTTGCTCTCTGTGGCCTCTGTGGCATTGTCACTGTTGCCGTTTTGCGATATCTTTGACACCTCTGAGCCCAAAGAGAAGCGTTCCTGAGTCAGTCATGGCAAGTGCCTTCAAGAAGGGACCTTCGACATTGCGGTCTATTGGAGTCTCTGGGAAGAGCACCATATCCCTTTACCCTAACTCGTAACACCGTTGTGAGCCACAAGGCAAAATGGCGAATCATCAGGGTGGGGTGGTTTTCTCCGATAGCCAGAACATATAGTTTGTTCATGTTTGTTCTGGAAAACCGTGCTATAGTTCTCTTAGAGCCTAGTCGTTGCTGCAGCGTGATGCATCCTTGCTGGATTTATTGAGGGAAAGGCCCCTGCCCCACCCTGGCCGTAAAACAAGCTTTGCTTTTGACTCTGCTTGGAGGATCACGAGACTGATGAGATGTCAGGTGTGTTGCTAAACACATCATAGTTATTCTGTTATTCTGAAGTTGTCCGGTTGCCTTACCCGGCGTGTGACCACCTAGTCAGGACCGTAGTCCTTCAAGTCAAATTTTATTTTCCGTGCATTGAACCTTTTTTGCCGAAGGCACAAGGTGTCGCCGTTTGAAGCCAGGTCTGTTTGGGACAGGAAACGTGGTTTGAGGACCCAGAAGCTTCGGATTGCAGTCCGAGGTCCCTCTGCTTGATCAAGGTTCTGGCTCCCCAATTGCAGCTTAGGGAATAAGGTTTTGGGTGTTGGGCTCAGGGTAGTTTAGGGACTGCTTAAGCTTTAGGGCTTATAGGGTTTAGGGACTAGCCTTGGCAAAGTGTCCGTTTGAGTGACAAGGAGCACCTGCCGCAGAGTGCGGACCGGCTAAAATTTGTTCCGAAACATGTAGAAGACTCGGCATGAGGAGCCTCCATTTCTGATGGACTCCCTAGCAGATTCTGCACGAGGCGCTTCAAGATATCGAAAAGCGAAAAGGCACCTGATGGCATCGGCTGAACACGATGTTGCTTAGCCTTATCGACTTAAGAAAAAAAAAAATATATATATATATATATATATGTGTGTGTGTGTGGAGACATGGATGAAACATGATAGAAGCGTGCACTTGCGACGGTGCTTGTCATTCCCTATAAAACTTTACACCCAGGACCCTAAACGCATAAACCCTTAAAAACAGTAAACCCAGAACCCTAAAACCAGAAGTCCTAGCCCCCAGAACCCCAAAGTCAAAAACCCTAAACCCCGCGCCTGCGCTGTCGTATGCTGGGAAGCTGTGCGCTCAGTCGTGGCCTTGGCTTTGGATTAGTGCCAGCCAGACTGAGGTTTAGGGCTTCGGGTTTAGAGGATTAGTTGTTTTTAGGGTTGGGCTTTATGGGTTTAGGTTTTAGGGTTTAGGCGGTTTTGCTCGAATCTGGGCGGCCGTGGGATGGTGTGGTCTCAGCAGAAGGGCTGCTTGGGTGGTTGTCGGCTTGCCCCCATAACGGAGCCGCCACCATCTCTGTGAACACCGCAGGAGAAACAAAGCTTGAAATCCGAGAGTGCCGGGCAGGGACTCACCACTAGTCAAACCCACCACGGGCCGCGGGCCCGCTGAGGACAGGAAGGCATTGAATGGTGCAGGCCACGGCAGAGAGTAGTGGGCCTGTAACCCTAAACCCTAAACCCTAAACCCTGTAGCCAGCCTACTACAAACAGGGACTCTATTGGGCCCACTGGGGCGCTACGATCTTCGTCTCTAGCGAGGTACTGTTTTTTCGATCCCTAACCCTAGAAATACACCCTAATCCCTAAACCCTAAACCCTAAACCCTAAACCCTAAACCCTAAACCCTCCCCCCTAACCCTAGAAATACAAAAAGGAAACGAAGCCATCAAAACTCGGAGACGGATCGATCTGGCAGTCCAAGCCCTCAACCCTAAGAGCCCGAACGCGAAACCAGCTCAAGCCCTTTAAGGTTTAGGGTTTAAGGTTTAGGGTTTAGGGTTTAGGGTTTAAGGTTTAGGGTTTAGGGTGCAGCTCGAACAGTTTCTCAGTCCGATCCAGAGCAGGAATGGGGGTCTTTGGCACGGGCGGGCAGACCTGCAACAGCGTGCCTGGGCCGGTTCAGACAGTTTAGGGTCAGGGTTCGGAGGCTTCACTTCTTCGCTCTGCTTGTGTAAAAGGTCCGGTAAGGCAAGCAGGCCGAGCATCATACGTTAATTTGCATTTATGAGTTTTTGCCTATGGTTCCTAAAGAAGTTGAAGAGCACGCAGGCCAACATTGGGCCGGTTCAAAATTTGAGCTACTCATGATTTGTGGAAGGCGATGCTTTCGTGTGTGAGAGTCTTGTATGGCGACCGCACAGAGTGAGAGCAAGCGCCCAGAAAACTGATCCCATCATTGGTTAACCTAGGCCCGCATATCCGCAGCCCAAGATAGCTGGGTCTCAGTTTGAAGGGTTATTGTTGCTGCTGGCTTCCTCCGTTTATCGCCGCATAGCTCACGGCATCATGCAACCCTTGTGCCAGTCTTTCAGTCTTGACTTCTTGGTCACAAAAGCCCCATGCCAGAGCGAGAAAAGTGGCTCTTCTGCTCGTGATCCGGCCGCCTGAATGGTGGATTACTGGACATGTCGTGGAGAGATGTCGGTTCTGTCAAAAACTGCTGTCGTCGCTGCGTTTCGATGTTGGAGGCTGCGCAGGAAGGCTGACATGAAGTTTCTCCAACTGCCATGAATCCTGAGTGTTAAGCTTCTGAGAGCGAGCCTGTGAGACAATCCTGTCTCGCGCATTATAGTTCGGATCGTGATAATTACGTGATTGCTGAAATGAGAGCTGTACCCAGAATAGCAGATGTTTCCTGCGGCGCGACTTGCATCATGATTGCTTCTGTTCTGAGCGCACTCGGTTCAAAGTCAAAGAACGTTTATTTCCCAGCTCTGCCTCGCTGCAAGACTGCAAGATGGTGATCGAATGCGCCACGGTACTTGCGTCAGTTGCAGCCAACAAGCTGTTGCAGAAAATCTTGCCCAGTGCAGCGAAAGATGAGCAAACGGTGGATGAAATGAGACACGCAACGGCCATCTACTTCCAAGACCATGGATGGGAGCTCCAGAAATCTCCGTATTTCAAGCACACGCTTGTCGTCGCGCAGTGCCGGGAGCAACTTTCTCAGGTACTATTGGATCCCAGGCTTGAGGGATGCAGACTCTTGCACGATTGGCTTCGGGTCAAGTTTGAAGAGGCGTTGAACTTGCCTTTGGACGGACATTTGATCGACCACGCCTTCATGTGTAACCATGAGCGCAAGTTCTCTGAGAATGTGTTTGGCTTGATTTCCGTCAAGGTTGCCGGCATGATGCATTCCTCGGAGTTGGGAAAGGACACATGTCTACAAGTGCACACCAGAGTGAGAGACATGGGCAAGATGTACCATCGGGTTGCTGAGGAACTCCGTGGCTTTGACATTACAGGCGAGTTCCTGCAGGAGGGAGACTTTGCACCTGAGGATCTGCTGAGTTTTGGGAATCTCCCCGGCTTGGCAAAGAAAAAACTTCGGCATCACTTCGCGAGATACAAGCTGAAGCAAACACCCGCCCTCGTTGTGTTAATTGTCGCGAGCAGCTTGACCATGGAGTATCAAGGCGGTCCTGTTAAGGACATCAAGGGGGGCATCTTCGGTGAGGCATTGAAAGAAAAGTGCGTGGACTACTTGAAGCTGCGCCTGGCCAGTGAAAAACCACATGCAGCCTTGATGGATGGCAACGATGGCAGGAGCACAACACCAGCATTGCCGAATGATGCGTGCAATGAAGCACAGGATCAGGGTATGGACTTGCAAGAGCGCCTGAGGCGGCTCAAGCAATGATCTTTAGCTGAGTACCGAAACAGTATGACAACTTATAAGCTCCGCTTGATTTTGGCAACCTCCGTGGGAAGAAAATCGTCAGCAGAAGGATCTTGTGTTTGTACCGTATGATCGTATGGTCTGCATGCTAGCTGTCCACTCGATTTTATCTCGGGGTTGAGAGTTGCCACAAAGCCACAAAGGCCCCACAGGTTGCCAGAGGATGGCAAGAAGCATTGCTTCCGGAAGCCGCAGGAGGCCAGATATGTGGAGCAAGCAGAAAAGACCGTCGGACTGTCCCGTGAGTGCACGTAGCAAGGTCCTCAATCTTTACACCCTCAGCCCTAAGCCCCTAATTTACTAAACTCCTAAACCCGTAGCCCCCAAGCCACAACGCCCAAACTCTAAACCGCTAAGCCCTAAATGCCCTAAGCTCCACAGCCTTGAACCCAAGCCCTAAACCCCCAAACCTTGAACCCCTGAGTCCCAAAGGTCATGTCACTCCTGGCACCTCGCCGAGTCCCTGCGACAGCAACGGTCTCCACGCGTGTGGAAAGACAAGAAGATGCTGTACGGTTTAAGGCTTCAGGGTTTAGGGCTTTAGGGATTTCGGGGTTTAGGGCTTTGGGTTTTTGTTTTGGGGTTTAGGGAGGGCCCAAAACGACGCTATGAACATGAGGACCTCGTAGGTAGAAGCTTCAGGAGTCCACTTTCCAGCGGTCCTTGTACCCACACACATAGAATCCTCATGGGTAGTTCTCTAAATTAGAGTCCCTTGTTAGGTCCCCAATATAGTACGGAACACCTTATAAAAAGGACTCTAAAACGACCCTAATTTTGAACTACCCATATGTTTCTGTGGTCTTTATGTGCCTTACGGTACAAGCGGTACAAGCGGCAGCAGGAGTACTGGAAGTTAACCCCAACCCTTGTGTGCTTCGTTCATGTTTGGCAAGATGCAACATGTACGCTTGAAGCAGTTCAAGGGCGAGGATCCAGTGTGCACATTCAGGAAGTCGGTTCGCCAGAACCTTGGACTTAGCAGCTGAGTAGATAACCTTTAACCTTTTGGGGCTTACATCTTCTTACAACCCTTATGGATCCCTCTAAGGCACCCTGAATAGGGACCTTCAATGTAGAGAAGCACGGCTCTACCAACGCCGAAAGCCCTCTAGCTCGCCGGAGTGAAAGTGCTAAGGGTCTTAGCTCCAGAATAAATTGCTTGTCCCAAGGGCTCCAGTTACTTGAATA